TCAGATGACATTTAACAAAATAACAGCGAACATACTGACAACTTTATGCGAAATTAGTTGAGACATTGCATTAAAAAATAAAAAATCTACAATGCTTCGTCATTTTCGATAACGGTTATTTTCAAAATATAAAATAACCTATCACATACGCGCTATAGTGCGATGGTGAAATGTGCAGTAAACCATCCGTGTATTTTTTTTGCAGCTGCAGTATATAAAAAAATCCTAAGATTTTTCTCATTAACAATTTGGATTGAAGCAATTTGGAACGAGGGTGCTCCCCTAGTGGCTGGTAAACCCCATGGTAGCGATGCAATCACGTGTCGCTCCCTCAGTGGTTCGTTACAGCGGTTGTGGTTAAACCCGTGGTAGCGTTGCAATCACGTGACAGTTGCTCCCTCAGTGGTTCGTTACAGCGGTTGTGGTTAAACCCGTGGTAGCGATGCAGTCACGTGATGGTCGCTCCCTCAGTGGTTCGTTACAGCGGCTGAGATAAACCCCGTGGTAGCGATGCAATCACGTGACAGGTGCCCTCTCAGTGGTTCGTTACATCAACTGAGGTAAAACCCGTGGTAGCGTTGCAATCGCGTGAAAGGTGCATGCGGTGCAACTTAATATTTCCAAGTTTAACGCACATATTAAAAAAAAGATTACCAAATAGTTGAGTTGTTGGGTTCAGGACATATCTTGTCCGAGTAATAGCATGAAAGTTTGTATATGGTTGTCAATTTATCTGTGCCACAGTACGTATCAAGCATGTCAAAACATATGATCACAACTGGGGATCAAGTTGAACCGTTAAACGATAAACAGATTCGGCGTTGCACTTCCAGAAGTGAAAGCGGTCATTGTTGTCAGACAACGCTTAGGGGACGAGAGTAGAAGACAAGTGCCTAGTGCAAGTGCAAGTGCATACATCCAATCAGTACTCACGGACAAGGGGCATATCTTTAATGGCGTAACTACCTTTGGATAATACACTCTGTGAACAGGAAGTTACATCACAAACAAATCGACACTGTGGGGTGTCATGGTGACATCTGTATCGGACGTTCTTCGTCATCACTATTACTGTAAAACTGTAACGTTTTAAAGATTTTAAAAATATATTTTGCGATGAGAATGGTCTACCACCGCTCTGAACCGAATTTTATTATGTAATCAAGTTTATCAAGTGCGATCATCTCGCGTGACCCTAGTTTTTTTCGCGTTTTGGTCATTATTATCAACTCATCTAATTATGTGACCCTTTATGCCACACATCCGGGTACTCAAGATTGTTTTAGAAAATTCTTCCATTTTAAGTTTTCAATGGGTCTCAGAGCCCGGTAAATTACAAGTACCCGGATGTGATATTGGGTCACCCACTCACAAGGACAATTAAACTGCTCACATAAACATGGCATTATGGTACTTTAAAAACCCGAAACAGATCGATGATACATTATTTAAAAACTGATTTGTGGTTGCCATGAACAAAAACACATCCAAGAGTACATTTTTAACAAGTTTAAATATAGACAGCACTTTTCTTAACGGGAGTCAGTGAAACGTTTTGATTTTAAAATTGCTAATTCTGTCTGTAATTAATCTACTGATATTACTAATATACTGCTTCAGACCGGAATATATAACACTTGGAAGTTTCAGCAAATTTTCCAAAAAAATGAAGTCGAATGCCATTCTTTCTGTAATTAACATTTAGTATTTTAAAGTGGTATAGCTTCGGCTGGAAGTCCTATCAGGTCTTAAATCATATTGTACGGTGTTCTCCCACAAATAGCTTTTCTTTTCTTGAATTTTATGATTGCTTTTACAGACAACTTTCTGCTCTTTTCAATTCTCATAGTTCATTTAATACAGTTCATTCAGTAAAGTATCCATTCCTCAATCTAAGTGAAGTCAATAATCTTATTACGTCACAAATATGCTCAGATCATCGCAATATATTACAGTTTAGTAACTGCCGACATTCTGAAATTCAAAACAACCGTGATTTCTCCGTACTCTGTCTTCGTCTGTCATTCAATTATTGGTCGTCAACACGGTTTTTATTCGGTGCCTATTACAGCCCTTTGGGTTGATGCATACTATATGTAAAATCTATCAAAATCCAACTCTCATTATACCCGGTGTATAGGCGAGACAGATGGCCTATTATTAAGACGCGGTATAATATAGGCCTTTTGTTGTTCTTAAATTTTGTGTCAAACAATACCCGTTGCTGGCTATTTTTTTCGGGTACGCTGTTATGACAGTTCTTGCTATTATGTCTTTGTTGTTTTATTCCAGCACTCGTGCCGTGCGTAACCTCTGTCGTCTGAATTGATATGCGTCATTTGAGGGGGGGGGGGGTCTACAAGCAACATCTAGTTTGTTTCAATCACGTGACATAAATATTGTGAAATGAAGAGGCGTGGAAGGGAGGGGGTCGTGTACAAATGATGTTGTGGCGGAGACCGTGACAATGTAGGATGCGACATGCTCCTGTCATCATGATTGTGGCAAGTGCAAGGCCAACGACATTATCTCTCCAATTAATTAGAACATGAACACGAGAATAAAGTAATCATATCAACGTGCGCTAGGACATGTTTCTACCAATTATTGGAAATATTTAACACGTTTGGCGTGTCAATATAATGACATTTGCGAAAGTCGGTGCTATAATGTATTCCACGCAAACTGACAGACGCATGTTCAGAGGAAACGAATTTAGGGTATGACTGGAACGTCAAGGTAGTCAGCACTCATTGGCTGAGTAACATCACATGCAGTGAAGCGCACCCTACGCAACCAAATACTATAGTTTGGTTGAACGGGCGCCACTGAGTCGTGGTACTGGCGGATTGGAAAACGTAAACTGTTCAAATGTTTAAATTAACTGTATATCTTCAGTAGGGGATATTCGATAACTTTGTCGGGTGACATCGAGTTTGTCTGTGCACAGAAGGCAGGTAACAAAGCTCAGCCCCGTCCTATAGCTCGTATTTCTCGCCGATAACACAACAAATCGCAGGACCGTGTCGCCGCCATTCACCCAGATTCATATTTCTTCCAAAGTTGATTACAGCGACATAATTCAAAGCCTTTTATCGTGATTAAATTCGTAAAACCTCTCAGTGTTTATGAGAATACGCATTTTCATATAAATATTTAAACCGGTTAATTCAATCCTATTCTCTAGGAGAACAAACCGTCTTTTCATAACGGATATTTTTCTTCTTCATATTCTAAAAAGATCGTTCGAACAGTAAAACTTTTGTGTATGTCAATTTATTAGATTATAAGGTTCAATAAAAATGTATTATTGGTATAGAACATTATTCGACAAAAAAAATGATTCTGGGTGTCATGAGTTCAGCGTCCGTCGTGGTGCCCGTTTTTGCCCTCAGGATATGAGTCGGTACCACTGGGATGTCACTCAGTGTCATTAATGCGACTTGTATAATTACCAAGTCCTTCTGATAAGATACTAGCGTGAAAACTATCATTGTTTTCAGATTATTTATTGCGCCCATCATGAGCTGAATCATGGTGGACTATTCAGGGCTACCATGGCAACGAACATTATCTATCTCTTTGCGACCTATCTGTTTGCGAGCGTAGCTTCTAGTTTCGAGGGTACGTGCATTAATAATTTTACAATGCGATGCGGTGTTTAAATTGACAGGTATCTATTGCTTCTCCCAGTTGTATTAAAAAATATGAAAATCCGATTTTAATCATATTATTAACGGTACTTGAAGCACGAAAGCTCGGGGGCCTGTTTCGACCAAGAGCCGATGTTCGACCTAAATCTCATGTTTATGTTGTGCTTTTTTTTTTCGCAGGACTGGGTCGTCCATATGCTGCGAAGGTAGTCACACTATCTACCAATACATGCTCATCATTTGAACACCTCCATAATGAAGACGCAATCTATCTTCCAATCAGGGTGTTCACGATTGGTTTAAACTAGATTACAAGACTACTTTCATATATGACCACGATTGTACCACTATCACGTCGCAAACTATTGTACATGGCTTGGACATTTTTTTAAAAGCGACAAATCGGCGTACCCAGCCAAACTATCAATACCAGCGGCACACTGCCTCTTTAATAGATTGCCAAATATTAGCTTCACCACAATTAGTGGATTCATTAGCGATCGGTTTGTGTGCGTCGTCGACAATAGCGCAACCAGCGAGACACACCCCTTGGTCGCTTGCTACCAACAGAAAAACAAAAGAACGTCGGCATCGATCTTCAGTGTTTCCAGCAATGATAACAGCTCTTGGTGAGCAAGGGTAAATTCAATAGTTTCATCCAATTAAAGTAACATTTGTAAATAAGGCGACACTTGCTCCTGCCACATGGTGCCTACTTATGGTAACGGGAGTGTGCCAAATTCAAGTGCACTGTTCAATAGCATTGTTAGATTACGCGCGGAATTGACCAATTGCGTGCTTCAAGGCCGAGACCCAACAAATTACGTGTTTTTTAACAGGGTGAGTAAAAACATACGAAGTTTGCGAACAGTATTTTTATGTTTTCACCAAAAATGTGTTTGCAACGTTTACCAGAGTGGTTACCAGTGCTTGCACGCAAATATATGATCACGTCGTTGTAGTCTGCGTTTCCCTGGATCACGTGATTCGAAATTAACAGAAATGAGCTTTGACCTTCAGACTTTATATCAACCATGTTTATACCCTATTTTGGTTACTGTTTTTTTTGTGTGTTTTTTTTCCATCTGCCGTTGAAAAAAAAATCATTGTTCCGGAAGCTTCACTTCACATCTTAAAATGTACAATTGCTAAATTACCCGCAATTTCAGGGAGGCACTTGCAGTTCATCTCACCGCGAAGGCCCCGGAGCGACTGCTTTCAATGAGTTGACTAGCTCTTTTACGAAAATATTCAAGCAGTATGGCATACGAGTATTGCGCCATCAACGTCAAATTGAACAAAAAAACATATCATGCCACTAGAGGGCGTTAACGTTATTAAACCTACCTCCGATTGAGAGCTGGACAGTTGCTTCCACAGAGTTTTGTCGGTATTCCACGACGCATTGGTACATTCCTTTATCGTGACGTGATACTTGGTCAATAATCATCATCGTATCATTGTCAGATATAAAGATACGCTCGTCTTCGACCAATTGCTGTCCATTTTTTAACCACGTGATCGAACCAATTGGATATCCACTCACACTGCAGTTGAAGTAAGCAGGACTACCGACGTCGATAACTTGGTGTTGTATATCAAAAAACACTTTCAGCGGGTCTGAAAAGCAAAATATAACGCCATATTATCACGAATCTTTGTCAATGGATAAGTTTTAGTTCAAAAACCACCAATCTATGCTACTTATTTTAAAAATTGAGTATTAAAGCGTTCAGATTTTTCTGACCGTCTTCCTTCCTTCCTGTGATATAATGTGATAAGCATATAATGTGATAATGTACATGACAGACGAAATCTCATGAATGATCTCGCGTGTCACGAGACTCAAATGTATAAGTCACCGTTAATGGAGCGCGACGTAAAACTGCGAGAAGGAAAACAATGAAATTAGATGGTTATTTCACTTATCAAATGACCAGGTCACATGAACCATTGCACCTACTCACCTACAACGGTCAGTACTGTCTGTATGCTAGCTTGTCCGAGGCCGTTCTCAGCGCTACATGTATATCTACCGGCCTCGGACAGCGATACATTCGTTATCAACAGGTTACCCCCTAGAAGCTGGACACGGTCAGTCAAAGTTACGGTTCGGCCATTTTTCTTCCAGACGTATGCAGGCGATGGTTGCGGGTACCCCACAGACACGCAGGGTAGTTCCACCGTGTCGCCCATCGTCGCCGTCTTACTAGCTAGGCTTGACACGATTTCAGGTGCGCTGTCAGTTGGGTCTATCGGTGGGAAACAGGTAGTCAATACATAGTGATATATTAATAATATGTAATACATATGTAAAATTCGTGACTTTTTGAATTCATGTGAACTACATGATTATTATAGTTTAATATACAAGTACAAATCGATCTTCTAGTGACGACGAGCTTCTGTGACGTAAATGGGTGAAACGAAACGAAGGTCGTTCAAATCGGGTCATTTTAGTGCAAACGTGGCTATAAAGTTTATTTCTAGTTATTTGCATTAAATTAGCATAATTAAAGGTCACACGATTCGCTATTTTTGATTTCTGATTTTGTTACAACTTACAAAACTGAAGTTAAAACGGGAAATCTTTTATACATATTACATATAGGAATACATAATGTTGTTTCTTGTTGAATATTAACGACTGGCTCTTGATTACTTTGGTCGATCTACCAAAGACCTATCTGATATACAGTCGTTATGTTTATAAATAAGTGAGGGTCAAATATCTCGATTTTATCGTACGCACGAACATTTGGAGATCCTCGTAAAACCGCGATATATATCGTCGAAAATGATGCAAAGCTGACACTATGACCAGAACTACGTGTGAACATTAATTATGCATAGTTTACAAAAGTTAAAGCGCGGTGGTCGTCGCGCAGAGCGTGTTCGAATTTCATGTTAATAAACAATGTATTTTACTAATAGAATGCATATCACCACAGTGTGACGTCACATCTAAGTGACACCATTTAATTACGTAATGAACGCATGGTCTTACCGTAGACAAAAAGCTTGGCTTCATCACTTGTCTTCACACCGTTAGTCAGCTTATTTGTAATAGTACACCGATATCCAGGGATGCTGTCTGCGTCACGAATGTGTCGGATATGCAGCTCGCCGTTGTCAAGAATACTGAATCTTTCATCTGAGGGGAAAAACGAAAGTCATTTAATTTTATGCAGCCGCGGCGCGTGGTGGCGCTATACTTTTGAGAAATGTGTAATTTTGAAATTATGTATCTGCGACATGTAGGAATAACATTGCGATACTAAAATATGTCCCGGATAGCCCGATATATACTTTAAAAATAAATGACACTACATTCTACCGTAGTACCAAGTTATATACACACCATATACACATCTATTGGCATGAATTATCAATCTTTACACAACTAAATAAATTTTCTAAAATAAATTAATGTACGCACTTGCAGTTATCGTAGAGGCTCCTTGTGTCCATTGCGTAACTGTGACATAGTCCTTGGCTATGCCCTTTATCTTGCATTTGAATACAGCAGTGATGCCTCTAACAACGTACTGGTCATCCACTTCTGCAAAGTACGAAGTCCGCTGGATAACTGCAATAAACCAAAATGAAATAAATGTAACGATTTTACACATAATAGTACATTGTCAGGTTTCAAACTCACCTGTAAGGGCGCCACCAAGTGGTAAGTGGTTAGTGTGTTGTGGTAGGTTACAATATCAATATTGTCGCAAATCGAGCGCTTAAAGTGGGGGAGTCGTCACCTGCGCATGCGTCAGTTGGCCATAGCGTGCCATTGTTTACAAATAAGCGTATATCCATGAGCCTTTGCGTCGCTTGGGACTCAATTCCCGCGAGTGCGCAGATAACGACCTTCCCGCTTTAATATCATCGAGTATTGTGTCGCGTCGATTAATTGGCTAGTCCAACCATCGAGGCAATCAGGAAACTCCTTGAATGTTTCACTGAAGCTATTTAAAAGTTCCGGAATGTCTGCGGTGATACGCAAAAATACATTTGCATCTGATTTCTAGAGTGAGGTAAAAGCAAAGTGCGCCCTCACAGTTTAATACTGATGTGTACAGTTTTATCACGGGAGGGCGCTTGTGACACAACTGAACAGAATAGAGTCGCCATTCGGCCTAAACGAGAACAGAAGTCAAACGTTATTGTACCTTGTGAGGCTGATCTTTACTCATGTTCACACGAGAGAATGTGACGTTGTAATATTACGAGAGATGGAAATCGTTGAAATAGCAAAAAGTAAATTACGTAAATTCAACTACATTATTTTGTCTGTCCACGACCGTAGGAAAGGAAAACACTATAACCGTTTTTTCTATAAAGAGTCTGAATACGTCCGATGTCAGATACACATTGCGTCAAGGGTAGCGACTGTGACGTCATAAGAAGATGGTTGACCTTGACTTATCGCTCTTACTCCGATTGCGTTAGTAAACACCAACACAGAAATGCTAAAACAAACTTTGCGCTATTATTTCAGAAATGTCATCTTGAGGCCGACAAAAAAAGTCCCATCGATCTCGGCTTGTGTTAATGGGTTGCCTTGCCAACGATACAACTCGATATGGGTTCTGATGTGTGTATTTGGCTGGCGGTAAACAGAGGCACATCCTGTAATTCTCCGCGTAAAACAAACTCCCTGTAGTCATCAGAATTTCAGTTAGAACCGAACAATGCTAACTTTGTAGCTGGCGATTCGGATCTATTAATAGTCCAAAGTTCGTTTGTAAAGTGCACAATGCCTTCTCGCTTCTATAATATTTTTGTGTGTAGTAGATAAAGTAAGGCTAACATGTCGAGGCGCCTTTGTTACTACATATATTAATTGGAAACGCTATTAGACTTAATGAAATATAGAAATTGCGTCTTAAGTTCATTTTGCTGCATTAATTTATAAATTAAACAAAATTAACAGTCTTCATCAAGAAAATTACGTTGTACATAGCGTGTTTGCAAACCGAATGCTGAATATTTTAACACTTATACAGATTGGTAATTCTGTATAATATCGCAGATAAATGGGAAAAACTGTACTTTCAATTTAGGGCGGGAAACAATGCAATTATTATATCGGTCGAAACAATTTCAATCTTTCGTCTGCCGGCGATGCTGTCACGAATTCAATCACAGACGGACAAAAAGGTAAGGAGGGGCAAACGGCGCCATTTAGAGAGGGAACTCAGTTAAGTGGCTGTCCGCCATGCATACGATGATCATTAATAATTTCTACCTAAAAGCAGACAAAATATGCGACCAGATTGAAAGATGTCACCTCACTCCGTTTAATGTCGCGTTCTGTCGTCTGCCCATTTTTGGCGCCAACATATTGCAATAACGCTTTCTCACGGTTATTACCGACACTACGTACTTCGTTGTTCGCCGTGTCGCATATTTCAACAACAGCCCAGAACTTATCTGTATGCAAGGGTGGAGTGGATATATTGTTTTGTAGTCCAAGGCGTGTACGAGGAGCAGCGATAACAGTAATTAAATAAAAATAACACATGCCGTGCATAGTTCGGAGTGCCTCAGTTTCAATCCATCGTTATGAATTTTGGTTGAAACTCAATGCCGGCGTTCAACGGAACACGCGTGTGTTTATGACCCAATGAATTAATTATGAAATAAAATGAATCGAGGAGCAAAAATCGTTCGAATTTTGCGTAAACACGGTAGTGTACACGCTTTAATCTTTTTCTGCGCTTTTTTTTTAAAATTATTGTATTCTTAAACATTTCTGAAAATGAACCCTAATTTTGAAGCCAACAGACACTGGTGTAGCGACCCGTGACTCCAATAATTGAAAACGAACCGTGTGTGTTTAATAATTCAAACTATGAAATGTCTGTAAGTGGCGATTACCATTTTTGTTGGTTAACTGATTTTTTATATTATATATCTTGTTAATTACAAAGCATCCCGAGTTACGCCGGCAGGTGAACATGATCGCAGGCCTGGCGATAAATAACAACGGGATTGGGTGGATGACTACGATTCAAGGTATCTGACGAATCGGGTTTATTCTACTTTCTGTCCAAGGTATGTTCACCATTAAAATATGACAATGGAACATCCCCTAAACTACCCCGGCCACTGAAATAGCTAGTTAGCACGTAGATGCACACGCACACACGTTTTGTGCTCATTGGCTTCAATTCATGCACGTTTCAGAACGAGCAACCATCAAATATACCTTAAATACAGAAAGCACACATGCCCGCAAGAGGTTAAAGGGCAGTGGTCGTCGCGCAGCGCATGTTCAAATTTCACGTAAACAAACAATGAATTTTAAAGGTGTTGTGCACGTCGCTAGGAATCTTATACCGAACAGGGGCGGCGCGACGACCACCGACCAATAATATTCGATGGAACCCACACTTTAATACTTTTCACACAAACATATTGATATTACGCATTACATGGAATGACGTCATATCATGTGTACGCCATATTACATAATTTCCCAGGCTATAAAATCAATTCATTTAAGTTTTATGATCTACATTTACAACTTCACTTAGAGCAGACATCGCAAACTATTCGCCTTATTTGCTAATTTGACAAGAACAAAACTAATGTAGCGATTCTTGTCTACTTTCAATTCGTTAATATTTCATGAGATTTCTGGATTTCCCACGAACTTTATGGATATGATCACGTGACAGTCACCCCCCCCCCTTGTGAAAAAAAAATATATATCATGATGGTTGGTTATCCCATTAATCGTAGTTCCAGGTTGTTCCGGTAGTTGCCGGCACTCTCGTTGACATGTGTGCCATATCCATAGTCATGACCGGCGTATAATAACTCATACACATGGGAGCAAACGTCACATAGAACAGCGCACATTTAAGAGGTTGTCCCCATTTTGTTCTGGCATACGTCAAAACTTATCAGCTTAACCATCAGCACGCCCACTAAATTACTCTGTTGTAGCACGGACTAGCCATTTTGTGTTATCTTCATCGAAATAAAAACTAATAATATATCGGTGTTTGAAATCGAATCCCGTGAGATTAAGTTTACCTATGGTAAGTTGAACAACGTGAGAAAATGGACAAGCTTGAATTTGTGTTGAAAATAATTTTACTATCGGCTATTATCAATAGTGTACAACCTCCCCCGGGAATATAGCATACTCTCATATGTAAGATCGTTTTCAAAACCGCGGCCGTTGTGATTGCATTGCCGTTACGAGTATTATATTTGTGTGTCTGGTACGAGTTTCTCTGTGACCTGTTTTGGCAAAACTCGCGAATTGCATATACAAACAAACACCGTGAGTTCTGAACGACTAGTAGAAGAGCCAATGAACACGGAAATGAGAGCACAAAATAGACAATACCAGAGCCAGATGGTTACATTGTATCTCAATAATCACGACTAGGGTCGAGGAGAATGGTTTTCGTTCTGCGGGAGAAACAAGGACCCCGTATAAATAATGAAATTGTGGCAACCATAGCCCATTATTCGCCGGATTGTGGCAACTATAGCCCATTATTCGTCGGCAATTAAAGTTTCCGAAATTACACTCTCTTAACATGGCGAGAACAAAAGAATAGGAGACGCCGCTATTATCTGGTGACAACAGAATTCTTCTTTTGGGTCTCCGTACCGCCTGTTTTTAGCCTGATTATTCCCACATTGATCCAATCAAATACTTTTTTCCGTAATTGTATTGGGATGATATATCTTGCCTTTGTTTAATTGTAGGAGTCCAGGGTTTAATTATCGCACATAAGCTGTGATCCGTAGGAGTGGTTTCATATTCATATTTTCATTTATTCGAGAAAGCAAGCGCAATTTTCTTTTTCAGCAATGTTCCATACTTTGTATTTTATAGACAGTAATCGTTTCGGGACTGTAGACTATTAAAAAATCCGGTCAGCAGCCCGAGGGATATAATTTTTCAACTCGTTGATACTTTAAAAAGCGAATTTCGGGATAAACATATGAAGTATATTTACTTCGGATTATCTCGTGCTTGTGAAGAGTGCCGCTCTTGCTCGTTAATTCCATAAGATCCGCGGTGTCCTCGTCTGTCTAATTTTACATCGATTGGTCTCAAATTTCATCTTTTTATCCGGGGGATTGTCATCACTTTTACAATGATTAGACGGAAATCAATCACAAGAAAAGCATGTTGCTATGACAACATTGACAAAAGCCAGCACATAATGAACGCGGTATCGATGAAACAAAAATTAGCTACGCTCCATTTTAAGACGTCTGCTACGTTCACGGCGCCCATATTTTTAACCTCAGACACCCGAGTGTCGTCGTTCACCTCTTTCATCAGCGTTTCACATTGGTCACGTGTTCCATAGTTTCATATTTACGAACGCTCCATCTTGAAATGATTGTTATTTTCGAATGCATGAGATCCGTATCGCTCTAAGCACGTCAAATCATTTTCGTCCCAACTTTCAAATTGTTATCAGTTATTTGACCATAACTAGTATCGTTATCAATACAGGTACTTTTTCAGTTTTGTCATAGTTTTAATCTAGGTAATACCGAACCAAAATGATACATGAACCCACATAAGATGGTACAATAGGATGTCCG